TTAAAGCACAATTAATTTAGAGATTATGTTCAATTGAGCCTAAGAAGTTGCAAAGCCTCGGAGGATCATTGATCTGTTCCTGAGTTCTACGAGAAAAGCACATTGCACGTGTTATGAAAAGACAATTCTGACATACGTTGGGGCAATTAGACTTTTGTTCTAGATGACAGTGAGCACAACTGCACTTAATATTTCTTCAAAGTAACTATACTTAGGTCATTATTCATATAATCGATCACTTATGGTAATTGCAAAGTTTTACGCGTTCAATAATAATTTGGCTGGCTGAGTAGGGATAATCGCCATAGGTTACACGATGAAAGAAAGGAAAAAATTATGGCTCGATACTATTAAAAAAAGGAAAATTTTATATCTATTTTTAAATACTATTCATTTATATTATAACTTTATTGGTGCTGTTAAAAATATGTCTCGAGTTTGACCCCGTTGAACAAACTCGAGACATAGTTTTAGTACGTTGGCTGAACTTCTTACGTTAAAGTTCCGTTTGTTTCGTGGAAAATAAATTATTTGAAGAATATTTTCTTCAAAATAATTGTTTATATCTCTTACAAAAATGAATGAATGAAAAATATTTTCATCGTTTACGAAAATATTTGGACATAAATTATTGACGATAATAAAAATATTTTTTATTGAATAATTATTTTAAGCAATATAAGCGATCATTTTAAAAACGTATATTTTTTTAATTATTCATTTTTTGAGAATAATAAAATAAAATGTAAATGCTTTGCACGAGAAAGGGAGAAGGAAGGCAGAAGACAGAGAAAGCAGCAAACCCACAAGCTACCATTTAATGAAGGGGGCCCTCCAATTTGTGCATCATAATAATGAACGACCCACAAGCCACTCGATCTTTCGGCCACACATTGTAGACTTGTCTCGTCTCTTGCATTGATTCCACATTAATAACTCTCGCATGCAAGTCAAAAAGGAGCCGCATAGAGCCCATCTTAGTAACTGTAAATTAGAGAAGGGTTCATCATAAAAGGCAGAAAAGGAGCGTAGGAGAAGTGCGCCTTGGAGTGCCAAGTTCTTGGTGGCCGAGAGGATGGTTTTCGTGAATATTCTTCACATTGATTTTCTCGTTATAATTACATCCGATTGATGTAACCAGTTAAATTCTTATGGTAAAAATTCGTGTGTTTCTTAGGAAATTGAGATTATTTCACTTGAAATTGTGAAGGCTAAATACTGTGTGAGTTATGATATCATTGGGGATCAAAAAACATTGAGAGTGTATGAGTGCTCGAGTGTAATTGTAATCTTTATTGTATCATTTGATCCATAGTAGAATTTTGTGCCGCTTTCCCTGTGAATACAGGTCACATCGATCAAATCACGTAAATTCGGTGTCCAATTTATTTCCTCCTTTTGTTAATTATATTCGATCGCTTGTCCATTATTCACAACAGTTGCAAGCATAACTTTACCGGTCATATCCCTATTTACATTGTAATTACGAAATCGATCCGCCCCAAATTTGAGCGCGTGCAACAATTTTTATTTTATTGTTCACGTGTTTTCACGCATTCTCTCTCAGTTAACACTGACTGACCTTTTGACCCAAAAAAAAAAAAAACACCGACTGACCTTTTTGCCCTTTTCCATCGTCCTCTTCAAAGTTCTACTCCATTTGCTCTTTTGAAAGTCTACGCCCTTTTTTCTCTTTTGCATTAGTTTTTACCTCAAAAAAGAAAAGTAATTACATAATGCCGCCATCATCTTAGTTTATAGCTCAACTAGTTCTTTTTGAGTTTAATGCAAACACTTTGTGACGTGCTGACATAATGGTATCGAATTACTTAATAACTCAAATTTATATTAGTTATCAAGAAGCCACAAGAAAGAAGGTTCATTAAATTGAATGAGAAATACTAAGTCGCATGATCATGTAGAGAAGATCTGCTAAAACTGACGTATAGATCAAGTTGAGCATATTTAACGGATATTCACTAGTTCATGGGTTGGAGACCGATCATCGAGGTTAAGGAACAGTCCATGGTCTTAATGCAAAGTAAGCAAGCAAGCATTATGCGCACTAACACTTGAAGTAGAAAGCAGCAAACGCAAAAAGGGGTAAAGAAAGTGTACCAAACACGTACCTTTCTTAATAAACGATGTGAAAGGGGTAGGGAAAATTATCAAAAAAAGCCATAAACTTATTATACGGATGTTAATTCAGTCATAAAATATTTAGTCCTAAACATGTTGTACGGAAATCGTTGATGTGGACGTCAACCGTCCAACATGACACGGCTGACGCTGACATGGATAACATGGATAATTTTTACAAATCTTTAAAAGATTTGCTGAATATTTTATATATTTTTTATTTTAATTGCTTAGTGATTTCTTTTCTTTGCTTTTTATATTGTGACCAACAAGGGTCGTCGAGGCCTCACCGACCACTGTGCGAGGGCCTGCAAGCCCTCATCGGCCGCTTGCAAAAACTGTCTATATCAGTGTCGGTGGTGTCACATAAAACGATTGGCGTCCATGTCAGCGGCTTCTAACCAAAATTGGCTGGAAGAATAATGGAAAGAGATGTGTAAAATAGAGAAACAAGGTGATTAACATGAATTGCCTACTCGGATCGGTGTGAAACACGACTTTCTAAGTTCTACAAGAGACGAGCTTCATGTCCACCTCAATTGGATATTGGCTTGCAGTTGAAGTGCTATTTTGCCTTCTCCCCAACCACTATGTTATTCGTTTTGGCTCCCCAATCAAAAACTTTTCCAAGCAAACCATAGATCTAATTGAAGATAATTAAAAATTTGAACGACTGTTAGGCAAATAGCATGAGAGAATTTCTCCGATGGCAATATTGTAAAAGCATGTCCAAATGGAAATTGATAAGTCACCTAAAGTTCTGCTCAAAACATGATTTAGTGTGCTTTCATACCCTTAGAAATGCTGCATATACATCCCATGCGAAAGAAAGTGAGTTGAGATTTCTTCTATATATCCTGCAAAGATTAGACAAACCGAACGTGATATATCAAAGAAAACTCACTTTCAACCTTGACTTTGGCCCAAAATCTGATGTAAGCGAAAAAAGAAACATACTACACGAAAACGCGTTAGGTAATCAATGACGTTTTTAATAAACGCGTAGGTAATCAACATTATGATAATGTTGGCAAATAAAAGAATAATTTATAATGAGGGACAATGACACATATAATCACTGAATTTTAACCCATTATGCAATGTAATCCCTAAACATTTAATTTGTTCAATGTGGTTCGTAAATTGTGACTCAATGTTCAATGTGATCTTTAAACTTTCAATTTGATTAATATGGTGCCTGAGCTTTTATTGTATATTCAATTTAATTTCTGAATTATATGAAAATATTTATTGTTATTTATGAATTATATGAAAATTTTCAAGGTTGTCCTTATAATAAAGCTGAAAAATCAAGAAGAATTAATTTTCGCTACAGTCCAAACAAGTGAGACAAACACTTGAAAACACGTGCGCCTAGTCGTGACGAATCCTTTTCAATGACTTTTCTAGGACCAATCTGCAAGCGAGTACGATATTTGTGTAAATCACACGTGTGGGTATGTGTTCCGCACGCGCAGGTGTGAGGAACGTGGGTAGTAAGTGAAGACAGAAATGTCGAGTCACAAGGACAGGGTAACTTGAAAGGCTTAGCAATTGAATATCGATGGAGTGACGTAGACAATTTCAGATAATGATATAAATAGTTTTTGAAGTTTTATCTTATATGTAATATGATTTTTAAAATTTTAATTTATTCAATATGGTCCCTAAATTTTATCTCAATGTGCAATATCGTCCCTGAAATTTTAATTTGTTCAATATGATCTTTGGACTTTCGATACATATTCAATTTAATTTTAATTTGAACTATATGAAAATGTTCAATATTAGGCTAAAGTTTATGGACGATATTGAACAAATTAAAAGTTAAAGAACCACATTGCACATTGGACCAAAGTTCAAGGACGATTTATGTCATATTCTCTTATTCTGTTAGTAAGCAGAGTGAGAATGGACAGTCAGTCTCAACAACCTCGCCTTTGATTTGAGTAATAATTACTACTTGGTTGAAGCGAGCCCATCATCACCCCACCCTTAGATGTAAGTGGGGATAAAGCCGGAATTATCTTACAACCGGTGCACAAGACGAAGCTATGCCACATACGAACCAAAATTTCCTCGGATTGAGGAGCAATCTTAGAATTCGAACTTGTGACCAAGTGGTTCAAATTATTTGGGAGTTAGCCTTACCCACTTTACAAGTGAAGAGTGTGTTTTTTTTAAGAGACCCTCTTTTGACTGTTGACTTCCCTCTCTTTAGAGCTGTGAAAGAAAAATCTCCAAGCGCATTTCAGCCCCTTCCTCCTCCCTCTAGGACTGAATTAACATTTTCACAATAAGATTAAGCTAAATTGGTAATTTTCCCCACTCCACATATCAAAGTTTAGATATAATGAAACTTCGAATGTTCTACATTAGTTCTTACCAGAAGCCTTCCACATGCATAAATGCACATAACTAACTCTTGTCCTACTTTAATTTTTTCATTAATGTACCTACAATGAACTACGAATAGGTTTGCTTTTTCATTCGGGATTACTTTTCCAAATGAAGTTGGTGTTCGAAGCCGAAAATCTGGTAAAGAATGGTCCAAATTTATTGGAGATTTCCAGTTCTTACTCATGCAAATTCGAGATAATTGGAAAAAGAAAACAAACAATAGATAATTAGAGCAACAGATAAAATGATTTCTATCATCATAGTGAAGCACCAACTCAGTTCTTATTTATTTAGGACATACATGTTGGATCTAAGACATCGATTGCCTGAACGTACAACTAATAATGACAGAATAAAAGCTAGACATGAAGGGCCTATTTATTTAGTAGTAACTTGCCCATCAACTTATTTAGCAAAAAAAAAAACTTGCCCATCAACTTGTTTCTCATTCTTCCGGTGCTTCATGCAAATTTGTAGACCTCGTTAGGTAATCTCGGTGCGAGCATGACCTCGAGCGGCGTTGCCTTCTCGATTGTTATTCCGAATGTCTCCGACATATCCACTGGCAAATTGTCAAGAGTTGATACCTCGAATGCATGCAGAAACCTAGCAAGCATAGAATGCACAAATTGAAAGCCAAAGGACATTCCGGGACAACTTCTTCTACCAACTCCAAATGGCAAGTAATCATAATTACGGTCCTTCACGTCAACATCTTTTTGGCTACTCAAGAACCTCTCGGGTTTAAACTTCATGGGTTCAGGCCATGCTCTTGGATCGGTTTGAATTTTCCATAAGTTGAAGATGAACCTCGTCCCTTTAGGCACGTGGTGCCCGTTGACGACGCAATCTTCGATTGATTCGTGTGGCACGCCAAGCGGGCCTGGAGGGTGTAATCGCAAGGTCTCCTTCACTATGGCATGTACGTAACTTAGGTTGGTTATGTCTGATTCATTCACAAATCTTTGTTTACCAATTTGAGTGTCTAGTTCTTCTTGAGTCTTCTTCAAAATGTGAAGGTTGTTTAGCAACAAAGAGACCGCCCAAGTTATGGTGCCCATTGTAGTATCAGTACCGCCTGATATCATGGCCTTCAAACAAGAAATACAGATTAGATATCTAATGATAAGCTACATTACAAGGAAACATAATGCACATTTATATTAAATCCAACCTAAGCAAATGATAACTTTAAATAGGAAATAGATAAACTAATAATAAGTTCTGTTCTATCAAAATAGGAAATAGATAAACTAATAATAAGTTCTGTTCTATCAAATCTTAGATATCTAATGATAATCAATTTAAATTGAAACAAATCACCTAACATCCTCACATAATTTTTGAGAAAAAAATAAAGACAAGGAAATAAACAAAAACCATAATCTTTAAAAATGTATGACAGCGTCACTTTACTAGTCATGAATCGGATTTCCTTTCGCCCATAACTTGTTCTATAAAATAGAAGTCCAAAAAATATCATATTCATGTTAAACGGCGACATATAATTGTACATTTGTTAGAAAACTTGCTGGTGCGATGTGTGTTAAACATCACCTTGCAATCTTTTTTTTTTTTTTTTGTAACCGAGGATCCGCCACCATTTCCCGGGGACGAGCCCGCACAGGTAATCGGGGAGCCTATACCTCGGGGGAGACTAGCCCAGCAACCCACCGCCAGGGCCTCCCACTTAAATTACGGAACCGAGCGGGGATTCGAATTCAGAACCTCTCTGAGGGAAGAAAAGCGCTCACCAACTCGGCCATGCGCAGGTGGGTCATCACCTTGCAATCTTAATCGCTGTGTAAAACAAATAAGGTGCAGTAGAAATCTGATACTCATCTTCTGACATTTCTAAGGTGGTGCCTAAGTTCAAGCTCAATTTTGCTCCAGAACACATCAATTCTTCAATGTAAAACTCTTTTTGGTTAATATTATACGTTAACCGATCTCTGTCTCCTCTACGAAATATGGCTGGCTGTACCGCGGATTGCACTATGTTTGCTTTTGATGAACCATTGAATCCGACCGGACGTCTCCAATTCGATGGTGCAAAATATACTCTTCTAATTGACATAGCCGTCCCCCCGGTCTCTTCTCTTCCTCCCTCAAAGTCTGCCCCATTAATTTTCTCTTGTAAAAGTCCATACCCTCGATAATTAATTTCTACCAAAAATTGAAATTATAAACGACATAGCCATCACATTGTACATAGCTTTATCCATTCCAGTAAAAATAACTTGCTAGCTGATATATATTTGATAGCTTTTGTTTGCCTAAGTGATATAGTAATCGCAACAAATAAGTTGACCTAATTGAATAAGCAACACGATGTCACGCGAGTCTCATAATATATACGTCATGTATAGAAGACTTTTCCAAAAAGTGGTGCATATAGTTCAAAGTTCAGCATATATCAACGACTGTTCACTAATACCTGCGGGTTGACGAACAGTGACTATGTTAAGAGTGAGACTTTGTCCCAGTACAAAAATAAGCCAGCATGAATTATACACACACAATGTGCAATTGAAGTAGAAAGCAGTAATACTAAGAGTGGGCGTACCAAGCATGTAGCCTTGATAGTTGTATCTGCATCATAACCTCCCACTTCCTTGCCGTTAAGGGTCGAAAGCATGACGTCCATGAAATCTCGATCACCCCTATTCTCACTCGGACTTTTGCTCTTCCTTTTGTGCTCCTCTAACCAACCACTTAAGATCGTGTCCAATTCTTTGGCGATCCTCCTCATGGTCTTCTCATGGCCACCCAAGTCCAGGCATCGCAGGAAAGGAAGAGCATCCGCCACGGTAAAAACCCCTAGGAAATGCAAGAATTCCCTCAAGGCATGGTGGCACCGCCGCTCCTCTTCCTCGTCCACAGTGGCGACGCCGCTGTAGCAGCCCTTTCCGGCTATGACTTTAAGGACAATGTTCAGAGACAAGCTTGCAAACCACTGCTTCAAGTCAATTAAGATATGGCCTGTGGTAGAGACAGGCAGAGCGTTAAACTTTTTAAATCGAAAACGCACTTCTATGTTTACTGAAAGTGCTTGGCTTGGCTTGTTTCTCTACACCGGTAGTTGAATCGTTTCATAGAATAAAGAATTTTAAACTTCCGCTATATACATGAAAGTACCTGAATCATTCTTCTTCTCAGTCCAAAGCTTGTGCAACTCTTTGATGGCGATATCCGTCACCGAGGCCACTATGGGGTTCACCAACGACTCGATCCTCCGGTTAGAGAGCAGCTCCGAGGTGGCAATTTTCCTCACTTCACGCCAATACTGACCGTAAGGAGAAAACCCAAAAAAGGCATAGTTGTAGCCCATGACTTCAGTGGCTAACAGCAGTGGACGAGACGATAGGGCGAGGTCGTGCTTGGTGCAACATTCTTTGGCTATCTCGGAACTGCTAACCACTACCACTGGGAACAACCCAAGCCGGACGGTGAAGATCGGTCCGTACTCGTCGGCCATGGCCCCAAAGGTCCTGTGAGGGTGGGGGGATTTTGCTAGGATGGGCAAATGCCCTATGACGGGCCATGCGCCTGCAACTTCTGGTGGTGTTTTGAGCTTGCGAGATGACCTTGATTTGAACCATACATGGATTGATAGGATGAGGATGGCTAGGATCACTCCATACAAGTGGGTGGAGTTCAGGTCTTGAAGCAGAGACTCCATTTGGTGTTCGGTAGATGGATCGTTTGGCTGTGTGTTGCTATTTTCGAAGGACGAGCATACTAATTTATAGGTTATGTTCCAATTGAGCTTAAGAAGTTGCAAAGCCTCGGAAGATCATTGATTATTCCCCGAGTGGGACGGGAAAATCACATTCCACGTGTTATGTAAAAACGATTCATACGTAAGTTATAGTAATTGGAGTTTTGTTCTTGATGGAAGGGAAAGAACACAACACGTGTCTTCGCAAAGTTCTATACGTCGATTAACAATTTTACGGTAAACTTGTCGTAAGTTACACGCTAAAAAGAAAGCCACAGTGGATCAACACTATTGAAGACAAGGAAAACCTTATATCCATTATATTATATGTATGTAGAACGTATTCTAAGAGGGAAAATCTGGAAAAAGACAACGCTGGAAAAATCACGAATTCCTTCTAACTTGAGAAAACTCAGATAGATGTAGTATAATGATAAATCTAAGTACATCCAATACATTATGAAATGTCTACGTTTGGCAAGAAAAATCACTACAACACTGTAATTTTGATAAGTACAGGGTAGCAAGTTTATGTTAAGTTGCTTAAATGCATTTAGTAGAACTCTTTTAATGAGGGTCCAGAACATGTTATTCCTACAATATATTAAGATCTGTCACTTAATCATTTCTTTTTACTAATTATACGTGGACGAAAGTAGTTCACAAAGAAAAACGTAACTTTAATAAAGAAGATCTTGGAAATCTCTAGAGCTTAATATACTTAAAACACTTAAAAAAGGTAAACTTAATTAATACAACACAAATTAAATAATCGTCCATATAAAATAATATTCTTTAACCTCATACATTAAGCTACTAATCCCATCAAGTCACGACGCTCCTTTTAAATACTCTTATCAACTGACATAAATTAAGGGTGTGTTTGTTTGGAGAGAAACTCCATGGTAAAGAAAAATGCTTTTCGGAAAGTCATTTTCCAAATAAATAGTTAATTTTCCTTTATTTGGTGATACGTGATTGAAAACATTTTATGATGTTTTGATCTCATTTGGAAAATGAGAAAATGACAATCTCCTCACTCGACCCGTGAACACTCTCATGACTCGACCCTCCTGGCTCGGCCATGACTCACCTCCCCACTCAGCCCGATGCCTCCGCCCCACCCAGCAAAAACCTACGTCCGACCAATGCCCTTGCAACCACCACCTCAACTCCTAGTGCTACTCCTTCACCGTGCCACCTTCTAGCCTTGAAACCCTAGTGGCCTCCGAGAACCACCCGAAACCCCTCAATCTCAAGAGTTCCAAGCCCAGGAATCCTCGCGAGTTGTTCTCGAAGCACTATATCGTGAACTCCATCACCAACTCTCCTCATAGCTCTAAATCGAGACTCGGCATTGTTGGCCAGATTGATCCCCAGCGGATCTTGTCAGCTCCTAATTCATTCGCAGATGTGGCCAAGAAGCCGCGATTCAGTGATTGTAGCTTCCGCACCCAACCGAAGAGGTTCTCAATGACGGAGCTACAGGCAAAGAGCTTCCGAGTGCCTTCCAAAGGGCTACAGGCTACACATGAGGGTCTGTCGTCGTTCTGATCGGGTTCTAGAGAGAAGAGAGATAGAGAGACAAATTGGTTGAGAGAGAGAGAGTTGAAAGCATTTTCACCTTTTTAAATTTAGTAATTCACTTTCCTGATTTTATGCATTAATATTTTCGTTGATCGAAAAGTATTTGTGGTTGACTAGTCATTTTCGGCCAACCAAACAGATGAAAATCCAAAAAACTAATTTCTGAAAACATTTTCACTCAAGCAAACACACCCTAAAATACGTATACTGCAAGAAACAGTGTAAGCGAGGACATTTCTTCAGGGATGCCCGTCCCGTGCATCCATGCTCTCTTTTTAGGTATTATTTCTATGAAATTACGTCGACGAAAATCAGCCTCATGGACCTCGTGCAACGCTTTTGGCCCTGGTTGAAAAGTATGAGCATAAACAAGGGGATGTGCTTAAAAATTATCCTCGTCCAGCACGGAAGACGTCCGAATAATCACAAGTAAAACCACCAAAATAAACAAAACTAGTAGGTCCCCTTGCCCAATTATTACAGGTTAAGATGAAAAACGTTTTTCATGCAAGTCACTTCACATCGTCCATATATTTTACCACTAATATCAATTTCAACACACTCAAACGGAAATTACAGTTCACGTTTTTCATGCAATCCACTTCATATCGTCCATATAGTTTACCACTAATATTAAATTCAACTCACTAAAACAGAACCCCTGCAACAGAAACTACAATATAGTTGCTTGATCAAACATTTAGGTATCTACAAGTGAGAGCCAAAACCCAGAAAGAATGCACACATGATGCAGCAAGAGAAATAAAGCAACTACTTAAAAAAATGGATTTGACTAACATACGCACACTGTTAGTAAATATACGTGTTTTTTTTTTTACTAACATAGAGCCGACGGAATTACATAGAAACAATACTTGCCGGTACAGTTTGTTACTTGGAAGCAAATGCAAATACAAATCTTGCAACTTAACTTGAACCGTGCATGGATTGATAGGATGAGGATGGCTAGGATCATTCTATACAAGGGGTTGGAGTTCAGGTCTTGAAGCAGAGTCTCCATTTGCAGAACGTTCGTCATTGAGTTTATGTTACTATTTTTTAAGGAAGAGCGTATGACTTATACAGCTTCCCCTCCAAGGACTATTGATTACTTATGCTAAGTACGATGAAAATACGAATTATGTTCCGATTGAGCTTAAGAAGTTGCAAGGCCTCGAGGTATTATTGATTATTTCCCGAGTGCCACGAGAAAAGCACATCCCTTGTGTTATGAGAAAACGATTCCTATTGTTAGAATATGTAAATAATAAACCATGTCTTTATCTAACATCTTAAGTTTTCAAAACAGTTGGCTGTAGTCTAACAAAAATCCCACGCCTACATAAGTTAGAGTAATTGGACTTTTGTTCTAGATGACAGTGAAAGCACATCTGCCTTTAATATTTCATTCAAAGTATCTTTAAAAGAAACAACGTACACAAGGACATTTCTTCAGAAACGGTCGTCCTTCCCATTCATGCTTTCTTCTAGTATAACGAGGGAGAAGACCCATCCTAAATCTAGCAAATATATGTATATATATATATCAGCAACTGTAAAATAGAAAAACATTGTGATTAACGTGAATTACCTATTTGGATCTGTATGAAACACGATTTCCTTAGTCTACAAGAGAAAAGCTTCATATCCAATTCAATTGGTTATTGGCTTGGTGGTACGACGAGTTAGGTTGGCAATAATTTATCCGTGCAGTGACATGTGATAAATGAATTAGGCACAAACAATCAAGAAGAGGTGAATTGATTATTTAAGAAAACTTAGAAACATTTTTGCATAAAGTGTTGGATAGTGTGTAGAACGTGCGTTGGAATCATGCGTGTATAGAATCAATTATCTTCTATCAAGAATATAAAAAAGTTTTATGGATAGAAGAAATGCAAACCATATTTACAGTGGTTCGGCCTATCCACTTGGCCTACTCCACTTTCTCAGCTTTAATAACCTATATCAAGACTGGAATCAACTATGTAATTTTTTAGATGTACATCATCTGAAAATACTTCTTTCTATTTGTAGCTCTACATCTACGTAAACAGGCAATCCTTACTACACTGAACACTCTCTTCTTTGATTACATATGCTTGGACTTCTACAAAAAAAAAAACAATAAGGTTTACATAACTATCACACATCCTCTAGTTTATTCATTCTCCGCGAGGTTCATTCATGTTTATTGACATCTTCATGTTCTCTAGTCCATTCGCCTTCTATTGGTCCATCCTGACCCTTCTAAAAACCACACAACCTTTAGTTTGTTCAACATCCACCAAGCTGTCAAGCATCGACATTGTTCTCGTCCAATAACTTGTTCACCGTTTGTAAGGTCCATCCTGTTATCAGCATATCTCATGTTCAATTGCTTGTTCACCTTTTGTAGATTAAAAGGTCGTTCGACACTCTCAGACTTCTTGTTGCTGACACTATCTGGATATGAATCTATATACGTGGAGGCGGTATCTTCTGCACACTCAATTGCACATGTAAGTCTATTTGGAATGTTTGTTGTAATAGTTGGGCCAAATATGAAAATAATAGCCAAAAGCCCAAGTGACTTCATAAGGACTCAAGCCCACTTCTCTTTTACTCTTTGTTTGGCGTTAAACAAGGAAAGAAAAGGACTCCAGCGACAAAAAACAAGAAAACAGAGAAGAGAGAGAGAGGGCTTCGTTTCTGTTTATAAGAAAAATGTTATGCGATTTTGTACCCAAGATTAATCATTTATAGATGAACAGAAGCCATGTTTGTCGCCGTTGATGGATAGTATAACCATCTACATCGAGGGGATAGAGATGCCTTGTCCAATAAAAAACATACACAAAATATTCGCATTATTATAAGCAAATCTGCTAGGAAAAGTTAGACGACACTGCCGCGCACTAGTCGACAAATATAATAAGATAATAACCAGGTCAATCCATGATCTTGCCGAATCTGATCGCACAAACGTTGTTTCCTGGAGGTTATCTCCAGCAAGAGATAACATATATAAAACAAACTAAAGAATCCAATAAAATTGTCTTTTCAGGTAGAAATAGCATCCGAGAAAATGACATGGCACGTATTTGGTTTGGACTCTTATGCCCTGTCTAGTTCAAGATTTCCTCTAGCTCTGGGTTCATTGCATCCGAGAAAGTGACCTCCTAAGTCATCAGTTCAGGACAACGAGACTTTCATTTTCGACATGGTTATCAGGAGGTTTGCTCTGAAAGTTCTCGTGAATGGACATGTATCTTACCTTATTTGGCTAATGAACAGAAGATAAAGAAAGACGGACTTAATTTGCAGGAGCTGTTTTCTAGGAGTACTCCCAGAATTGGAAAGAGGGAATAAAACAATAAAAGCATAAAAAAAGTCATAAACTTACTGCATTTATACCAATTCAGTCTTAAACATTTCAATTAGACGAATTTAGTCCTAAACATTTTTCACATTGGTAACTTAGGCTGGAAATCGCTGACGTGGATACCGACGGTCTTACGTGGCATGATCGGCGCTAATGTGGATAATTTTTTATAATATTTTCTCTTTTTCTCTTTTTCTTTCCCTTTCTCTTTCTGTCGATGGCCAACGGCTATAGACCATGACCAACAAAGGCGAGCACTGGTGAGACCCATATCGTTGGATCTAGCAAGGCCGACCCTCGCCCAAGCCAAGGCAACCACACTAGGCGTCACCTAGGCAAGGGTCGGCCTTTCCACCGCTCGCCATCACCCAGGCAAGGCTAGCCCTCGCCGCCCACTAGCAAAAAGAAAAGGGAAAGAAAGAAAGAAAAAAAAAATCAAATATATTTTTTTAAAAAATGTTCACGTCAGTATCAGCCGTGCTACTAAATCAAGGAAGACTGATAATTCTTGTTCTCACTAAGCTTACTTGTATTTCAATTTCTAAACCAATAAAAATAATGTTCTGCCTCTATGTATTGATGGTTTAAAGTATACCGGGTTCAATTCCCTCATTTCTTTGAAAATAAGTATTGTTATTATTTGGTTTTGGAGGAATATCAACCAAATTTACAAGTGGAAGTTCAATATCTTATGAACTTTTATTGCCTAACTATCATTGCTTGAATTTGAAATCTTTATATTAACCAGAATGATCTCATCCCACGGCAAACGGTTGCCCATCACTTACGAATTCAAATACGCGTGCACTATAGCACAGTCAAAATTTAAGATAACAGGGCACCATTATGCTAGCTGGACTCAAAATAGAGGAGAGTTCACCTATGGATTAACTTAAGAGCAAATTACCACTCACTTGAATCCCGGCACGACATTTACTTAATTAATGAATTTAATGAACTATCTAATCATCGAGGGATTTGCTTTATCCAATATAGCTAATGTCTCTTCGCATATTAAGAGAAAATCTCTAAAGGGTCTATGATAACATCCTGGATACATCTCCATCACCCTTATATCTCATGGCACAAACATTGACATGAAACTCCTGATATTACTTGAATTATTCTTTCTTCTTGGTTGATGAAGGACCTAATTCACAGAAGATCCAAATCCCTCGTAAGCAGAAGGAGACAAGCGAGGCCTCACCATGACTTGAAGCGGCGTTGCCTTGCCGATGGTCAACCCAGCAACTGCAGTCATGTCCACAACGCCGTCATCTTGAGCGGTCCTCACATCAAACCCATGCAGTAAACTGGCCAGCGTCAGCTGCGCCATTTGAACCCCAAAGTTCGCCCCGGGGCAAGCCCTACGGCCAGCCCCGAACGGGATGAGCTCAAAGTGCTGGCCCTTCACGTCCACGTCCTTATGTGCGCCGGTCAAGAACCGCTCGGGCTCGAACTCGTCGGGCCGCTCCCAGACGCACGGGTCCCTCTGGAGCTTCCACAGGTTGGTGATGAGCCTTGTGCCCGCGGGGACGCGGTACCCCTTGATGGTGCAGTCCTGAGTGAACTCGCGCATGCCCGAGAGAGGGCCGGCCGGGTACAGGCGGAGGGTCTCTTTGACTATGGCTTGGACGTAGACGAGATTGCTCAGGTCTGACTCTTTGACCAGCCGATCCCTTCCTACGTGGACGTCCAGCTCAGCTTGGGCCCTCTTGATAGTGAGCGGGTTGTTCAGGAGCAAGGCGAGAGCCCATATGAGGGTGACGGCGGTCGTGTCCGTGCCTCCTGCGACCAGAGTCTGCAACAGTAGTAATCAAATGTGGACACATCACTTAGCATCTAGTTCATCAAAGTGTGTGCATTAATATGGTAACGATATGCTACTTAATGCCCCACTCGTACGTACGAAAAGATCAAGGCAACCTAAGCATAAGTCAAACATGTTGAATTCATAGGAAGACAAAAACTGCTAGTCTAATGCGAGTGAACTCTCTTAAGGCCAAAAAAAAAAAAAAACAAACTCTCTTGAGGCCACATTACAGCATAAACTCCCTCAGAACAGCGGCTCAGGATCGAGTAAAATCCTTGGTGATCCATCATACAAATGTATGATTTTTGAGTTTTCAGTATGTCAAAAGCTTTAAACTAGTGAACTTTTGTAGCATCCATGTATTTGGGACTAAAACCTTCAAAAATAAAGTAAATCCAATATGGCAAGGAAAAGTTTGGACTAGGAAAAGAAAATAGTGCAAGAAAGGTGTATATAATACCATAGTTGTGGCTTTGTTGATCGTATCAGCATCAACATCCTCTGCCTTAGACTCAACCAGGACAGAAAGCAGAACGTCCATGAAGTCCTGCTCGACATTAACACCACCAGATGAATTCTCCTCCTCCTCCTTTTTTTTCTGGCGATGCTCCTCCAGCCATTCCTGAAATATACTGTCCATCTCCTTCGCCGTCCTCTTCATGGCCTTCTGATGCCCTCCCACGTCGAGCCATTCCATGAAAGGGACAGCATCTGCCATCACAAACAGCCCCGCCAGGCGGAACATCTCCTCATCGCCTTCTGGCACCGCTGCGCCTTTCCCTCGTCCCCCCCCGCCGTGCCACCGATGGAGTAGCGCTTCCCAGCAACCATTCGCAAGATCACGTTGAGTGTCAAGTTCCCGAACCACTGTTTCATCTCCACTGGGGCAAGGTCCGTGCCATCTTTTGTCTCGGTCCACCTCCTGATCAGGGAGTGATGGTTAATGTCATGAAAGGTGTATCTAATCTGTGCTCATACCTCATGTATCTGGTCGATTAACGTTACTTGAAGAAATGCAACCTCGCATGATCAAGTGACCATGTACTGTGTCCTTAAACTCGATCTGTACTAATACACATCTCTTACTTTATTTGGACTAAACATATCTGTTAATCTATTCTTGTTTCTTCATGCATAGGAAAGTAGAATTAACCCCGATCAGTTCTCTTATTTGGAAACTTCAGGTGGTGTAATTTTGTGGATTGATTTCAAACTTGGTCGGGCCTACCTGTACATAGCTTTCATCCAAATCTCCATCTCTGAATCTCTGATATGACGAAGCAGCTCAAGGCGGCGATTGGAGAGCAGCTCCAAGGCGGTTACTTTCCTCATCTCACGCCAGAACGCCCCGTACGGGGCGAACCCAAAGTTTGCGTAGTTATATCCCAAGAGCTTCCCGCTAATGAGCTTGGGCCGCGAAGAGACCACGACATCGTGCACCGTGAAGCACTCCTTGGCTGCCTCCCAACTGCAAACCACCAACGCTGGGTGCACCCCGACACGGATTCTGAAGATGGGCCCGTATTTGTCGGCCAAATCCGCCAAGGCCTCATGTGGAAGTTTGGGTCCTGCTAGCAGGTGGAGATGGCCGAAAAGGGGCCACTTTCCGGCGGCTTCCGGCGGTAGTTTGGCTTTCCAGGATCTAGATGACCTCCGGAGTAACCAAACTGTCAAGAGCAACGCTGTTAGGATTCCGATAGTACTGGTGGTGTTAAGGCACGAGAAGAGGAGATTCATGGTGGCTCTAAAGAAATGGGTTGAAAGAGCAGAGTCCTGTGTTCTCGTTTACATATGTGTAGCTCGTGTGGCCATCCGTCGTACGAGTGTTCGTTCTTCTCATTAGGGGTTTTCCGCTGGTCAAAGAGTCAAACACCACAAATATTACAATATGTATGTCCTTATCAAATCACCTTAAAATCTAAGAAGAAAACACACACGGATTTTGTCTTGTCTGATTACAGGACATGTTGCCTCCGTCAGCTTTAAGTGGTGGCCCCTTTTCTAGGTTATCACATTCGACGACGAGAAAAAAGGTCATCACATTCGATGCGTTTCTGGAAAAGTCTATGATGAGACAAACTTAGCTACTGTTGTTAGTCCATTTTGCCTCGTTGGGAGATTGTTACGTGAACGGGCATCCTATCCTGCAGGTTGTTTACCTTTTATCTAATTAATAGGTAACCTTGAGGTTATTTAACTTGAAAATAACTGAAAGAATGAAGAATACAGCTTTTTGTTAGGGCCATATGAGATGAAATTCTCGTACAAGATTAAGAGAGAGGAGAGACTGAATTCACCCTCGAATTCCCGTTCTCCAAATGCATGCTAAAAGGGCTTTTTCGTTAGACAGAATTTGCTTGCTATAAAAATGCACTCTAAAACATGTTCAGATCGACGATATAAATGTTTGTACAAATTATTCCTTCACAGATTTGACAAAATTCGGAGGCGATCGAAAGATAAGGGGCGGCGGTGAAGCCCGGCTACGGGCTAGGAAGAGGAGGAAGCGAAGATAAAGAGACACAGATGAAGGAAGGTTTTCTTTTCGGGTTGTGTTTTTTGGACGTAGCGCAAATCAAATGACCGAATAAACGAGAGCAGTAGATAGTTACCGCACTTGGAAACAGTACCTCTGATTTAAAGATAAGTTTTTCTTTCATATTACATATATAGAGAGAGAGTCACGATAGGTGGAATCGAAGAGGGAGAGGCAGAAGAGAGGAGCGAAGATTGAAGAGGCACCGAAAACATCTTTTCTTCATGGGTTGAAAGTGGGTTCATAACAAACCCACTAGAACCACCTTTTTTCGACTTTATCTTTGAAACCCATTATAACTTATAGTTTAAATTTGAGGTTGCTCTTGTATAAACCACTTCAATAAATTTGGATGAAAATATGAATTCGTGACCCATTTCGTGATACACCCTTTTGATTTACAAAAAACTTTCATAACGGGCTTTTCCTATCTATATGGTTATCGGGTTTGCTCCGAAAGTACTCGTGCTTAAATTGACATGTAGTCTTACTATATTTGGCTGGTGAAGAGAAGACGAGAGATGGAATTAGTTTGCACGAGCTATTTTCTAGGAGTACTTCTAGAATTGCAGAGAGGGAACAAAACGGAGACCCATGAAAGATAGAAAAGAGTTTTAACTTTGGGTTGGCTTAAGAGCAAATTGACCATCTGCTTGAACTTCGGCTGGACACTTACCTCATTCATAAAATTAATGAACTATTTAATCATTGAGGGATTTACTTATCAATATAGCTAATATCCTTTCGCATATTAAGAAAAGATCTATGATAGCATCCTGGTTATGTTTCCATTACCCTTGATCTCATTACCCATTTACATTGACATGAAACTCCTAATATCATTTGGATTGTTCTCTCTAACTTGGGCAATGAAGGACCTAATCTACAGAAGATCCAAATCCCTCGTAAGTAGGAGACAAGCGCGGCCTCACCATGACTTCAAGCGGAGTGGCCTTGTCGATGGTCAGCCCAGCAACAGCAGTCATGTCCACAGCGCCATTGCCTTGAGCGGTCCTCACATCAAACCCATGCAATAAGCTGGCCAGCGTCAGCTGCACCATTTGAACGCCAAAGTTCGCCCTGGGACAAGCCCGATGGCCGCCCCCGAACGGGATGAGCTCGAAGTGCTGGCCCTTCACATCCACGTCCTTGTGCGCGCCGGTCAAGAACCGCTCAGGCTCATACTCGTCGGGCCGCTCCCAGACGCTTGGGTCTCTCTGGAGCTTCCACAGGTTGACGATGAGCCTCGTGCCCGCGGGCACGTGGTACCCTCCGACGGTGCAGTCCTGGGTGAACTCGCGCATGCCCGAGAGTGGGGCAGGAGGGTACAGGCGGAGGGTCTCCTTGACTATGGCTTGGACGTAGGCGAGCTTTCTCAGGTCCGACTCTTTGACCATCCTGTCCCTTCCTACGTGGATGTCCAGCTCAGCTTGGGCCCTCTTGATGGCGAGCGGGTTGTTTAGGAGCAAGGCGAGAGCCCATGTTAGGGTGACGGCGGTCGTGTCCGTGCCTCCGGCGACAAGACTCTGCTACATGAACAATTAAATGTTGTTACAAGATTGTTGTTAATATTAACGCTGGAAACATAAAATATGTCATTGGCAATGCTTGACACATCAAGTCTCTCTTCTCGATTATTATTCTTGACTGCGCAATATATCGAAAGCTGTAAACTAGTGAACTTCGCAGCATCCATATATTTGGGTTTAAAACCTTCAAAAATAAAGTAAATCCAATGCGGCAAGGAAAATGTAGCGTAAGAAATGCGTATCTAATACCATAGTTGTGGCTTTGTTGATGGTATCAGCATCAACATCCTCTGGTTTAGACTCAACCCTGACAGAAAGCAGAACGTCCATGAAATCCTGCTCAACATTAACACCACCCGATGAATCCTCCTCCTCCTTCTGGCGAAGCTCCTCCAACCATTCCTGAAGTATACCGTCCATCTCCTTCGCCGTCCTCTTCATGGCCTTCTGATGCCCTCCCACGTCAAGCCACTCCAAAAAGGGGACCACATCCGCCATCAAAAACTGCCCCGCCAGGTGGAACAACTCCTTCACCGCCTTCTGGCACCGCCCCGCCTTCCCCTCGTCACCCCCTGTCGCACTGCCGATGAAGTAGCGCTTCCCCGTGACCATTCGTAGGATCACGTTGAGGTTCAAGTCCCCGAACCACATTTTCATCTCTAACCGGGCATGGTCCGTGCCATCTTTCGTCTCAATCCACCTCCTGATCCGGGAGTGATAGTTTGTGTCAGCAAGTATCTAATTTGTGCCCACCGTCTATATAATAGAATGTCCAATCCAAAAATTTAAGTTTATAGATGAATGGAGACCATATTCATATGAAGAGAGCATATAAACACGTATACAAGCAATTTGAGATACTTTAACACTCCCAAGTCAGATTAGGACAACATAACCTCTCATGTGCAAGTTGAATTAGTATTTACTAGTGAAATTCAACGCACGGAGCTACACATACGAAATAAACTTTGCAGAGTCCAGCTCTGAACCATGTTATAATGTCCAACCTAAATTAATTTATAAGTAGTAGGAGACTACATGTATTAAAAAGCATATGCATCTACAGACAAGTTATGCGAGATACTTCAACAACGATGATGTTCATCTCATAACATGACTGTTAATCTCTTCCTGGTCTTTTATGTGTAGGGATTAAGTGTTGTTATCTCTCTAATTTGGAAACATCAGATGGTGTAATTTTAGGGATTAATTTCAAGCTTGGTCAGGCCTACCTGTACATAGCTTTCAACCAAATCTCCATCTCCGACTCTCTGATATGACTCAGCAGCTGGAGCCGGCGATTGGAGAGCAGCTCCAAGGCCGTCACTTTCCGCATTTCTCTCCAATACGCCCCATACGGGGCAGACCCGAAGTTTGCATAGTCATAGCCCAGGAGCTTCCCGCTCATGAGCTTGGGACGCGAAGAGACCGCGACATCATGCACCGTGAAGCACTCCTTGGCCGCCTCGCGACTGCAAACCACCAAAGCCGGGTGCACCCCGACGCGGATCCTGAAGATGGGCCCGTACTTGTCGGCCAATTCGCACAAGGCCTCATGTGGAAGCTTGGGTCCCGCTAGGAGGTGGAGATGACCGAAAAGGGGCCATTTTCCGGCAGCTTCCGGCGGTAGTTTGGCTTTGCTGGCTCTAGGCGACCTCCAGAGTAACCAAACCGTCAAGAGAAACGCCGTTAAGATCCCGATATTACTGGTGTTAAGGCACGAGAAGAGGAGATTCATGGTGGCTGTAAAGGAAAGGGTTGAAAGAGCCAAGTCCTTTGTTCTGGATCTTTGATTTTTAGCGGTTCATAAAGAGTGCTTGTTCATGTATTGATCAATTTTCTAGCCTAGACTCCTCTGCCATAATGTCTTACAAGTCTCTAGCTTATTAGGAGGTTAGTTGAAGTTCATGACAAATTGCATCTTCAGTCGGCTGATTGAGCCTATAAATAGGATTGGGATGGTCGGAAGAGAGACCAAACAGCAACACCTAAGCTCCATGTATCTTTTAGTTTAGGGGTCTACAAAGGTACTTGTTGAAATATTGATGAATTTTCTAGAATAGGCTACACTCCTTGTTGATTAATGTTCTACAAGTCTTTAATTTAACAGGAGGTGGTGGAAGTTTGTGGTCAAGGTTAGAAACAGATGAATATCTCTGACGAATGCAGAGACAAAATGGCAATGTACAAGCCGGTGGATTAAGCTTAGCAATAGGTTTTGGATGATCGGAAGAGGAGAGGCCAACTAGCCACATTAAAGTTTCATGCAAATCAGTGACATCACCATTTGTTGCTTTTATGCAAATACTAACACGAAAATCTAATACAATCAAACATTGTTATCATAGCCTCGTTCGGTTGTCTACTAAAATCATTCACCTAAACATCTTCCACAAAAGCTACGGTGAACTCTGCCCCACACTGACTACCCATTTCTACTTTCGATTGAAATAATTATGATTACCGGAGCATTAAAATGACTACTTTCACGATGGCCCGAGATTCATGAGATATCATGGAGAAATGATATGCGGCTCCGAAAGAAGGTACAAGCGATCCAGCAGAACAGCTACAAAAGGATGAAAGAGCTCTATGTTTCATCCAGCTCATCTTGGGCCCTCTTGATGACACGTGGGTTGTTTACGAGCAAAGGCGTGCTACCAGGTCGGCTTGATGGACCTCGTGTCTATGCCTCCGGTAGCCAGTAATTACGAGAGAATCATAAACTTTAATGGTGAATTCATCACCTAATATCTCATATCCTATTTTTACACGTAACCAATCATATTCCGTCAAGATTTATTCGCAGCTTCCGGCTTCCGGTGGTTGTGCTTATCCAAAACTCTAAGTAAAAACTAGTCAAAATGACTGCTATTAGGATTCTTTGGTGTTGAGGCATGAGAAGAGGAGATTCATGGTAAGCAGTGGATTGATGAAAGAGCAAAGTTTTATGTTGATACGATATCTTTGACTTCAGCAAACTATACATGGACTCCTTTCAACATATAGTAAAAATTAATGAGATAACAGGAAACTCTACGTCAGATTAAAATTAAAAGTGTGTAATCGCATGATTCCACCGTCTACATATACATGTTGGTTCATACCACAAAACTGCGAAAAGAAAGAACTCAAAAAAGCATACCCAGAATGTTGCCTCGTTTGATTAGTAGTAGATGTAGATACTGTCTTCATCAGCCCCAGTGGCTCCTCCTCCTTCGGAGTCATCATGTTACCATGTGCTCCTGGAATCTATGATAACGGCAGATTGCTTCATCAACCGATAATGAAGAAGGCCATTTATGGTTTGACCCGTATTAGATGAAATTCTCAATGTGGTTTTTTGTCCAACCCTGTACCAGATGAAATTCTGATATTCTCCTACGCAGAGTGAAGAGAAAAAACTGGCTCGAAAGAATTCGAGCGAGGCCACCAGCTTTGCCAAACGCTGAAGGCTTTTAGGTCGAACAGAATTTGCTTTACCGAAACACCATAGTCTAGCACACATTGAGTTCAAGCTTATATATATATTACATATACAGAATTTCTTCACCGAATCTACCATTGTTCCCAGCTAGAAGAAAGCACAAAAAGAAGATATTGTCCGTTGCCCAAGAGTAGCCAAAATGCCAAACGACTCCGAATCCAACCATGATCAACACAGGCAAAACGGTCATGGGAGAAGAGTTGCACTGTTCGACCAGACCATTTTAAGATGGCTTTTAATGGCCTCTAGACAGGAAGAGAAGTCACCAGGGTCAGAGGGACCACATCCTCGACTACACGGAAGATGGTGACGTCCAGGATGATGTTCTTATCGATGTTGTTTGCGAGATTGAACAAGCACACGTCAGATTGCTCCAGGTTGTTCTCCAAAGCGAAGTTCTTCCATCCAGAAGACAGCCCCCCACTCCCACGCCCAGTGAGCCTGTACCGGGCACGCCAAGTGCCCTCACCAACACGAAGAATCAGATCCTGGTTGCGACGATCCATATTCGCTGTTGCCCAATCAGTAGGAATTGACTGTGTTGTACAAAGATCAGCAATGAATATCACAAGTTAGCTCAAAAGACTGATGCGTAAGAAGCTAATAGAATGGACTAGGAGTACCGAAACTTACCAAATAAAATCTCTTGTATACGTGCGTGGGTCGCATAACTATCAGGAAGCTGTCGCTTGATGCTGCAGCCCGCGCAAGTTTGAAGGCGGAGGATTCCTCCTCTTCTGTGACGGGTCTTCTGTTGGATATGTAAACCGGAGAGCCCCGTGATCCAATAAATAGGGATTTTGGCGTAGAATCTGTCATGGACATACATAAAAAACGCGAACAATTAGAACCATGGGCTGTTGACAAAGTACTTTTGAGAGATGTTTGTGCCGAAAAACTAGACCTCCATTTAGTAGTGTACACTAGTGGAATTATAGATCTTACAAGAAATATGCAGGCATTTTGGAGTAGAATCTGTCATGTGCTTACATTAAAAAAACGAACGCAAACAATTAGAACCCTGGGCTGCTGATAAAAAAACCTTTTGAGAGATGTTTGTGCCAAAAATCTAGACCTCCATATAGAAACTTACACTTGTGGAATTATAGTTTCTAACTATTATCTATCTTATTTCTTACTTTAAAGAAAGTGGAAAAAAAAAATTCGTATTTGCCACTGAATAAATCGATAATCATTTTCTCATCGCAAGAGAAGTGTGCAGTTCTTAAGTCAGATACCTGGTTTTTCCTCCAGACAATCAAAAGCGACGGACAGTTTCTTTTTTGGAGTAGCCTTCTTCTTATTACGTGGCTTCCCCGAAGGACCCAACTCGATCAAGTTTTTAGAAGCTTTAGCTTGAGATAAGATATTGTAATCAGCTACTGTCACAGTCCCGTCCTTCGAAGGATCCTCAATAAGAGATCGTTTGACATCATGAGGTACAGGAGTATGCATAGCCTCCACTGCAGAATCCCCGAGTTTTCGCTTCGTACCGCATTCTTTGTCCATTGGTTTGTGGCTGCATCTTTTGTGGAAGTACGCGGCCTCCTTCTCACACAAACTATGTTGGTTGAACACTAAGACATTAAAAGAGGACTCTCCGTTGTACCTGAATACCAAGATATCATTCTTCTCCAGTGCATGATCTTTCACGAAATCTTGCCAGCCGTGTTTGAAAAGCAAATTTTCATCATCAGCCACGACGCCAACTTTCCATGTCGCGCCACTAGGACCCTTTAAGACCACATTTTCAGGTAACTTGCTTCTCAGATTCTCGGCAAATTTTTTGGGTATGGCCTGTGCACAGAGAAATTCTAATTCCTGACTTTCGAGAGAAGTGATCACGACAAATATGCCACGAAACCAGAGAACTCTATGAACAAGAATCAAAATCAATGATAAGAATAGGCATTAATATTCACAGCTACAGCTGAGATCATTTCCAGCAACCAAAACTGAGGCAATTGTAATATAAGAGTCATTGGCACCTTGATGGTCACAGGGATTTTGTGTTGTGGCCATCATTGTTAGCTAATATCAGTCGTGCCTCTCACAGGAATGACTCTGCTCTATGGTCCCCAAAGCAAGTTTGACTGACTCATGCTTGCCACCATATTGACAAAAATGAAAGCATAGCACCACTAACATAATGTGATTGGGGGATTCTTGTTAATCTGTTAGGAACGGGCGGTTCTCTAAGACAATCCTTAGGGCCACCCAGGACGACCTCCCCTGTAACAACCTGATTGTGATGGGTCAGATGGACTCTTGCCCCGACCCCGATGGGAATAATCGGTGTTTTAAAAGGCTTAGAAGCTCAACATTGTGAAAGAAAATTTGTGATCGGCAACTTATCATGAGGTAAAATTTTACTAACTGATGCTATTGCTGACTTAACCTAAGTCTGTCACTCTGGCCTAAAGCAAGCCATAATCCACAAAGACACCCTTTTTTTAAACCCAACAAGGTCCAGAGTCAAACAAGATCAGCTCATGACAAAAGTCACCTGCTTCATTTTCCAAGCTGGTTAAAAAAAAGAGACTCCTTTTTTTCGCCCCTTTTCTCTTGCCAAAGATAAGAGGGAGTGAACGGGGGAGGAGGACTACTCACAAGCTGCTGATGAAAGTCGTCACCATGAAGGAACTGGCAGAAATGTATGGAATGGAAATGGGTCCAGTAGATCTCCTCTTCCCAGCTTCTGCATTCCCTGCATGCCCCCTCCATTTCTGAACCTGAAATCAAGAAACTCCTTACAGAACAAGAACGACCCCAAACCGAAGAAACGTTCAAGAAATCGGAAGGAAACATCAACACGAGAAGAGACCCAATAATGAACAGCATTCCTACTCAAAAAGTGCCGAGCAAAGAGCGCTCCAAGAAGCTCGAAGAAATTTCCCTTTCCCCTTCTGTCAGAGCGACCCCCTAACGCAAAAAGAAGAACAGGTCAAGACCAAGAATCATCACGGTACTGAAACCAAACCAGCAGTTACTGTTACGCGGGAGTTAATGACGGGATGGAGTTACAACATGGATGGGGGGGGGATTCAATTGGTCGAGCGGACAGAACCCCCAAGAAAATGTTGGTTCATTCATCCCGTAAAATCCCACGTGGCTTCCACTGATACAGTACGCTGTTGTCGTCAAAAGACTCGAAGCTTGTCTCTTTAATTGCAGTTGATATTATTAAAAGTGTGGCAAAATTCCAAGAGACTCCCCACAAGTGGATGACGGAATTTTGTCAAAGGGATTTTTGCACGGATAATCTTCAACTTTTGCCCGTTATGTAACATAGTCGGTGAATTTTTAATTTATTTAATATAATTTTTAAATTTTTGTTAAATATATAATATGATTTCTGAATTTTTAATTTATTCATGTGGTCCTTGAATATTCAGTACTTATTCAATATAGTCCTAAAAATCTTCAATGTTGTCCTTTTATTAATTCAAAATCAGGGATAATATTGAATATTTTCATATAATTCAGGGACTAATCTGAATATATATATTAAAAATTCGGAGATCAAATTGAACAAATTAAACTTTTAGAGATCACATTACGCATCGGAGTAAAGTTTAGGAACCGCATTAAACAAATTAAAAGTTCATGAATCACATTATACATTGGATCAAAGTTCATGACCATTTATATCATTTTTCCACCGTTAAAAACCGTCAGTCCATTGAGCACGTGATGGTCACGTGTTGACCAAACCCTAAACGCCCAACCAAGAGAGCAAAATCCCTAAATCGTGAAACTGCGTCAAATATGAAGGGTCTTTTGGAATTTGCCCTTTAGGTTTGCAGAGAACGTAAGTATTTAATTAACTCATCGCCTATGCAAAGCCTTGACTAGTGACTACCATCTATACAGTCGAATTTTACATGTTATCTCCTTATTTAGGAGTAATCACAACATAAATCGCGGTTATATAAAATGTATACAAATATAAACGACCTTATGCAACATTGATTCAAGAGATTAGGGCAGTTATAGTCCTCAAAATCAAAGGCGGATAAGACCTCTTGTGTAAACTATTCATTACACTGGCGAAGCATGCTCCATTTGTCCTTTATTTAATTTCAACTTTACGGAACACGCGTTTTGACTTTTTCTAAATCGAAAAAATTTTAAACTTTGAACATGGACAATTAGATGGAGATGTGAATTTTTCATAAAATCTTAAAATTTGACCAAAAACTGAATTTGGTTTGTTCTTAATCTTAGACAAACAAGCTTAATATAGCTTGAGCAAAGTCGGTCGACCGTCTTACACCTCGAAGGACAACGGCGATTCAGGCGAGCTTTTTGGATTCCCCGAGCTTCACCAGAGTGGTCCGTCGCATTTAAGAAACAAAGCAAAGTGCTCAGCTACACTTGCCATCGCTCTTACCTCAGTCGATCAACATCGAGAGGAACGCTATCAGATCTAGGTTGATGTACAAGCCTCCGATGCGGAAGGTCGACATTTTCCAAATGCAATGCACTAAAGTATCTACTGATACTCGACATTTTGCTGCGATTTATCTGCCATCATTTCCATGTTCTTCGCTTTCGTTCGCGACATTTTGCAGGTAAGAAACATTTCACTCCAAGTACTCAGGTAGGAAAATTTTCTTTCATACCAGCTGCTTCACCACACGATACAAACACTACCAGAGGTCCCTCGGCCATTGAAGGAGAACGGGAGAAAGCAGCTAGTGAGGATGGAAGAAAGCTATTCAATTTCTCTCTCTCTCTGAACTGTATAGAGACAGAAACAGACACCATAACCTCTGTTTTGTCTCCACCATGATCGTCCTTCAAACGAATGATGAACGAACGAGACTGAAAGTGAAAACAGAAAACCAGAAGGTGGCGTTTGTCCCATGAGGGAGAGCACATCTCTTTTTCTCTATTTTGAGCCAACATGCATATCACCATAGTACCACTGTTGCATTTGCAGGGGTAGGGACAGCAGAGATCCGCTGTTGCATTTGCATGAATAAGAAGCTTGGCATTGACTTAATCTAGCAACGCTTAAAAGCTTGAGTTCCACAACGGAACTCAGGCATGGAGTCACACACACATGAAAGTCCAAACATGGGAAAGATTTCAGATCACATGATACTGATTTAGCCATTGTCTCTTGACTGTAGAAAAATAGTTCAACTCCCTTGATTCGCTTCCTCCTCCTATGCCCTAGAAATGTGGACTCGCAGCAAAGATGGACCCGCAAGCTCGAAAGCGCAGGTGTCGCCTTCCTTGACCCGATTGTCGCGGATAAAAGCGGGTAAGCCTCTGCTCAGATACCAGCTCTCGCGCCTCCGGATGTCCTTCCTACGGAACATCCACACCGGCCACTGCTTACCTCCTTGCCGGCACAGCACAACATCCGCACGATCTTTCTGCCACCGAATATGATGCTCGGAGAACGAACTAGGAATGGGCTACCGTCAACAGCACAAAGCAATTAATTTCCTTATCAATATAATCGACAAGCCAGACAGGAAATGCGACTGAGCGGATCATAACAAAGAGAAGGATTATAGGGTCAAACTTACGAAGATGGCCTTCTTGACGTTGTACGATTTCATGGTTATCTGAAAACAAAAGTGATCGGTACCGGAATATCCTGTTGCTCCATCTGCGTCGCTCTCTGAGAAGATCATTAATTAGAATTTTAGTATGCAAGAGGCATAAAGAAAAGGTATCTAAACCGGCGATTACATTCATAATTTAAGTTGGACGTTTTTCTTACCCCCTTTGACGTGCATGACCCCGTTAGATGTGATCAACTCGGTCGCGACTCGAAGAGAATTCCAGGCATGAAAAGAAGCCTCCCTCGGGCTCATAGTCGGGTCGAACACTCGCACCTGGAAACCAGCTTCCCCGTCGTAGTGGAAAACCAAGAAGTCACCGGTTTGAACGGAGTGATCCTCCACGAACTCGGGCCACCCTCCATCGAAATAAAGCGCACCCTCTTCTTTGATCAGGCCGACCGTCCAAGAATCACCACTCGGGCCGGTTAGCGAAACCGCTCGAGGCCTCTTGCCTTTGATGTAAGCTAGAAAGGCTGGTGGGATTTTCTGTGGGGATTAAAAAAGATGCTTAGAACATGAAACATGAAACTCTGTCAAGCGAGGATTCAGGATTGAAAACTGTAAAACGATGAAGACTTCTGTGGACTCCTGATACATATGATAAACTGATTCATGAGCCGGACTACCGTACGCTTTCTTAATAGAAAAGGAATGTGTGCTACTACTGTAGGCTAAATTTACAGAAACAACCGATGAAAACGAGCTACTGTTTTTTTTGCTTTCTGTTGGCCCAACACTTCTAGTTACGACTCTCCAAAAGTTAATCGAACGCCAAAGTGAAAAAGACTAAAAAAGAACAACCCAGTCTAACTGAAAGGAGTCAAGTGTACGTTCCTTTTTTTTGTGGGCTCTCTTACTCCAGGAACCTATGCAAAGAAGAAGAAGCAACGTACCATTCGTTCGGAGCTGTGCTCGGCCATGAAAAACTTGAAGAACGAAGGTCGTTTCCCCTCCATGGTTGCTGTATTGTTCTTGGTCAGGAAATCTTCAAATCTGAGAGAGGAGAAAAGGGGAACTGTGAAGGAGCGTTATTAGCTTGCAGCCCGTAAATCCATCGGTTCAGATCCTCAATCTCCGGAAGCAAAAGGCGCAAATCTTACTCATGCCATACTTTTTCACACCGCACGAAAGAATGAACATGTAAAACATCAAAGCTACGACCTTTGCGATGCTCCTCAACAGCTCTGTCGCGTGCTATTTGACGCGGCTAGAAAACCTGCATGTCAAACTCAGACGTGATGGCAAACAAGGTGTTGTTCACAGCAAAAGCCACGGCATTGTTGAGTCGAGCTTGCTGGAAATGCTTGCTGTGAACTCGCTGGGGTGGTTGGCCTAGAGCACCGCCTGGAACACACTGATTTGGAGTAGAAGCTGCTGTGATGTCGCCTGGATTCGTCCGACGTGCGGCTACACTAGTAATCGAGTGTGCGGCTGTGCTCGACTTGGACCATCGGCCGCTTGCTTGCTGAGGCGAGGATCTGGAACGCGGCAAGGTCCAGACCAGCGTCGGAAAACTTGAAGCTCGCTGATGACGGCCGAGTGCTATGAGCTGAGACGGTGGAAAAGTTGCGTTCTTGTGGAGGTGGTCGAGCCGAACACGATCACGTGAACAGCACGTCGCGCTCGTGCTTCAAACCCAGCGAAGCCCTCGAGTCGGAGGGAGGATCGCGGTCCTCGATAAAATCCGGCTCGTTAGGACTACTTCGTTGCTCTGTCTCCGTCGAGCTCAAACTGTAGAGAGCGAAACAGACACCGTATCCTCTGTTTTCTCTCCGCCATGATCGTCTTCATACGAATGAGCGAAGGAGATCGAAAGTCAGGAACAGAAAACCAGAAGAAGGTGGCGTTTTCTCCCGTGAGGGAGAGCATATCTCTCTTTTCCTATTTTGAGCCAACATGCATATCACCATAGTACCATGTTGCAATTGCAGGTGTACGGATAGCAGATATACGCTGCACTGTATCTTTAAACTTTACAACTTGGCTGAACATTTCTTCATGTATTAACGTATTCTCCGGTTTTTTTGGTGGAATTGTCATTCAAGATAAAATTTTGGAAATCGTCCGGACCTGTTGTATTGGCCTAGTGAGAATGAAAATTTCAAAACCCAAAAGATAAAAAGAGGCAGGAAGAAGGATGCAATCTCGAATAAGAAGCTTGGCACTGAATTAACCTAGTACCACTTAAATCATTAAGTTCCACAACATAACTCGGCATGCAGCCCCGCATGAAAGTCCAAACATTGGAAAGATTTCAGATCACATGAAACTGATTTAGCCACTGTCCTTTGGGCACAATAGGCTACATGATGTCTCTCTCTAAACTGCACAGAGAGTGTAGTAACCGGCGCCATATCCTCTGTTTTATCTCTTCCGGTGATATTCTTCAAACCAATGAATGAGATTGATTGAAAGTGAAAACAAGAAAAACAGCAACAGATGCGCTGTTTCCTTGAGCGGGAGCATCTCTCTTTTCCGTATCTTGAAGCCCAACATGCATGTTACCGAGTACCAACTGCTGCATTTGCAGGGTACGTACAGAACAGTAAAATATCCTCTGCGATCGACTATATATTCCAAAAACTTAAACCAGAAAAAGTAACACGAAATGTACGTTCGGTGGACAGATTTAAAAAGCTTGTTTAGATAAATATTGAAAGCGGTCTATCTATGTACTGAGTCCGATCCGACACGAGTTGGTCGCCTCCTTTGTATGATATGATAATCTTGGATCATAATTTGTTTCGTTTGTTGGGTATATTACATACGTGCAAGGTTGAGTCGATCGGCATTGGCCTCTTCGCGAGTATCCAGGGTTTGACCGAGACGAAGACCGAGATCTGATTTGAAACTCTCTACTTTTTTGCCGCAGAAGAGGAGGGAGGGACTCTGTTCTCGTTGTTCTACTGTTCAAGCCACCAAAACTGGTCCTTCTGCCGCCGTTCCTTTTCGGTTCCCTGCAGAACGTATCAAGGATCTTTCCATTTTCGGACGTGCATGGAGTCCTCTCTCGTTTTGTTGCAGGAGCATATTTCGCTCAAAAAGCTGCAGACTCTTTTTGATACCGGGAAACACACGGGCCGTGCGGGTCGGGTCGGGTCGGGTCCTAGTAAGCCCGGCCAGGCATGCCATCAACTTAATGCGAGAGTTTTTTCCGGGTCTAATTTGTCGGGTCATGTTTTTAGAACTTTCATTTTTTTGTTAGCTGTGACTAATTTTCCTCGTTTGCGAAATGAACTTGACACCCCCCCCCCCCCCCCTTTCAAATCTTTTCCCTCTTTTCAAGATTCCACTCATTGATTTCGAAAATGCTAGATGGTGCTGGAAAATCTCGCCGAAACCATGCTTGCTTGCTGAGTGATACGGCGAGTTTCAATTGGGTATTGAAATAAGTGGGATCCGTAAATTGAATGAATGTCTTTTTCGAAACACCCGATTGGAAATTGCCGGGGCATTTTGTAAGCAAGTGTCGGTAAGATTTGTGAGCACACATAGTATCGATCCGATTATTACTATCGAATGATACGATAAATAAGGTTCACGTGACCGTTTGAGGTTATATTTTAGTATAAGCTGGTACGTAATGCGAAAGCAGCCTGTACATGTGAAATATCATTTGGTTTTTAGGAACCGAAAACAATTTACCTAACGTGGGTCCGAAGAATATGGCTTCGCAAATGTGTAGCTCAGCACGTGTTACTCTTTGAAAATATTTTGATAAAGTCTCCGAAAATATTGAAGAATTTATCGTAGAGTAGAAAAAAATCAAAATAAATAAAACTTCAGAGACCAGGAAGATTTTGTTAGGGTTTTGTCTTTTTTTTATTTTCTTTAGATAATGAACATTTAATTTTTTCACGATAATAGTAGCTTCTTCTGCAATCATTTGCATACCTTAACATGAATAATTTTGAAGTCATAGCTCGAGATGGTCGATGTTCCAAGCTCCGACGCATCAAATCAGTCATTTTTCGTCGGAAGAAGCTCTATAGATCAAGCCAAAATGAAAGGGAGAGAAACCCTCGCGATAAGACGAGACCCCACGAGCAGCCATCACCTTTTATGAGCATGTGCGGTGCTCGCAAGAGTTGTCATTTTCGGCTAAGATTTGTAGGCATAGTTTTGCTTGGTGGTCATTGTCTTTTTTTTCCGGAGCAATTGGTGAAGTGTAAAATCAACAAAGAATGATTTGAGCAGATGTGACCTACTGAAAGCTAACGTTCAAACATGCCACAACTGATACAAACATAAACTCCCGAAAGTCGAGTCCACCGGAATTTCGGATATCATTAATCTAACGGAAACTTGACGCCAAATCGTGCTCGATGCTCATGTTGCATCCATCAATTCGTAGCATCTGAAAAGAGAACGAGAGCTCGTGAAAAGAAGGCTCGCTATAGTTTTTGCAGAAAGTGTTGGCTTTCCAGAGTCTTTGTAGGCCTCAGAAGGACAAGTTGGATGATTTAGCCTGCAAATTATAACGATGTCTTCGTACGGCGACCGGGAGCCGAAATTCGAATCACTGCTGCATAGCTAATCTAGTACTGCATGGCTAATATATTAAGACGAGGCACGAGACTCGTGAAAGGATTCCATCAAATTTCAGACGAGTCCAAACTCCTTGAGAACACAATGCAGTCAAAAGATAGAGGGCGGGAGCAAAAACAAGGGAAGAGATTCTTGGTTTTTGTTTGATTTCAAGATTCATTTGACCCCTTTGGATTTATCATCAACCAATCGAAAGAGATTTTTTTCTGCAGAAACCAGATTGACAAAAGTCAACCCACGACGAGCAGTTCCCATAATCCCACATAATAAGACAAGACTAGTGTCAGAAAACAGGCCCCCCCCAATGGACCAACCAGCCAAACCTACCCAACTAAAGAAAAAGATTCTCCTAACTTTTTAATTCCATTTGAAACGCAGGGGTCCAACCCTGCGTGTTAGCTCGCTCATCCAGCCACAGCATCATCATTCACCCGTTGAAGATTGTGTGAACTCCAATACCCCATGTGAGGCTGAGAATGCAGGTCAAAGTGCATTTGAACCATAGTTCTGTGTCCTAACATGATCTGTGGGTCCTCAAGGACTAAATTGGCTAACAGATTGTCTAGGAAACTTCATGAGTTTTACATCATGCATCACCTGAATTTATATAAAGTAAAGGAGGATAAGAATGGAAGGGGTGGAGGAGTTCATTCAAAGTCATCACACAGAACAAACTATGTTTTTGCAGGTACTGAGTATCAAACTTGAAAATTCATCTCGAAAATCCCATTTTACTTCCTGAACTGTTTATATGCTAATCAGTACATTAAACTCTACACGGAACCGAATCATGAGTAATACATAGGAAGGGAAGACATTCAGTAGATGTAATGTGACCACAAGAATAAACAAATTCATCTCCTCACGAGGATCAGTCTCCAGTGAAAGAGCCCCAAAAGGGAGGGAAAAAAACCAGAAAGATAACCAAACCTTTACATGATCTGCTGTTTGCTACTATAGAATCAACCAGTGAAACCCTTGCGTCAAGCTCAAAAAACTTCTGACCACACTCTGCTGCAAAAAGCACCGGTGGCCTACATCAAGGATTTTGGAAAGAAAACCCACGGATGCCCCTTCCTACACTACGTTTCCAATTCCTCTGGAACAGTAGACAAAGCATCCCCGTTCACGAATGAAGGACTTAGGAATTTGGCAACAAACGCCCACATCTTGTAGACATCCTCGAAGTTGGTCAGGAAACCGAGTGACACGGTAACAACCTCAACTCGGAAGAACGCATTCTTCCCTCCCTTGTATCCGTTCGCCATCGGCTTGCACAAGGCCATAGATTCAGGATCAAGAGACCCAAGTCGCTGTTTCGGGGCATCTACTATCCGTATATGGCTGAGAATTCCGACCCCTAGTGATATTCCGTTCTTCTCAGCCAGCTTCTGAACAATCTCTGGGAGGACCCACCCTCCTTCTCCACCATTTCGTATATTGAACGCCACAGCGGCACCTCTCTCGTACTTAATCTTGGGGCCATATATTTGTACAAGGGGAATTTTAACAGCCCCTTCCGAATTGGGTAGCTGCAGTTGAAGTAACGAAGTGACGAGCCAATTAATCAAATAGCGTAGTCTCGAAGTGGTTTTATTGAGACCTAAAGTGTTCACGTGATCAAGATGCCGGCAGATTATCTCTGGCTCCCGTCTTCCCCACTCTTGCCCATCATCATAGTCCCCATTGCTCAACGACTCTTCATCACCAAGAGAAGTCATGGAAGCTTCCCCTGGATGATACAAGTGGCTCGAGCTTCCAGTATGGTTGTCTTCCACACTGAAAGATACCCTGCGACCCATGCTCGCAAACCGGTTACTGTCTTCTAATATGGAGAATCTACTTCTTTCTCTTCCACCCAAAAGTCTGAACTCGCCCTCGGTCTCTCTCCTAATAGCACTTTCTTTCACTTCTCGGCAAAAGTCCGATTGCAAGGAACTCTCCACTTGTCCATTCTGGAGACCATGACACTGACTGGGTTTGAATCCATTTATGCTGGCGCTCAACTTGGAACCATTGAACCCAGGTTCGCCCTGGATTTCACGTTCTTCCTGAATCTCCCCTGAATGATGGGAGGTCGCAGAAACTTCCCTGCTTCCAACAGCAGAATCTAGTTCTTCCTCTTCAGGAATTCCCTTCACGCGATCCAACTCCTGCGACACTGATAGCACAGCTGCATCAAAAGACAACACAGGATCTTCCTGCAGTCTGAGATTGACTCTGCGCTCATCGTAAATAGGGCTCATAGATATCCTTGATGCAGGCTTAGGTGAGACGCGCTTATTGTTTCTCCTGACAGAAATCCACGACTGCTGCAATGGTGGGCTTGTTTTGTGCCTGGGAAATTGGCCAGAGTGGTCAGAACCAAAGGGACTTTGACCTAGGTCGATCCAGTATGAATTGTCAGAAGAATCATCTTCACTGAATATAGGACTCTTCATGACCTCTCCAACTGAAATGCTTTCCATTTCCTCGAATATGGTGCTCGCTCCATCCCTCTCCGAACTGTTATCTTGTTCCAACTCGGTCTCAAAGACATCTCTCACTTGATTGGATGTAAATACACCTGAAAATGCAGGCATACTTGACCCACCTTGAGCTTCAGGTGTGGGTTCTTCTTTACCGTTCATCACTTCATCTTCAAATCCCGCAAATACATCAAGACCATCCATAGAATCACTCAAATATTGGGGAAATACCGGGACGATCTTCACCATTCCAGTGCCAGTGAGTCCAGACTGGTTTTGCAGGCTGGACATCACAGACTTTTTGATCAAGAGGCATCCAAATCCCGTTGGGTCAGCTCCAAACACCCTGTAAAACGACGTGATGATAAAATCCGGTCGGAAGAGGGAGAGACCAAGAGAATCCATGTCCTTGGGACCCAATGAACCGGCATCAAGTAATACATGCCAATTGTTCTGCTGTGCAAGTGCCATCCACTGGTAAGAGTACTTGGCACCAGTTACCCTAGACTGGACGGGAAAAACGAAAAGCCCAACGGCCGAATCCTTCTTCCTCCTTTTCTTGCTCGATATTTGCTTTCTCAGCTCCCTCGAGCAAAGTTTCAAAGTAGGCCATTTGAACCAGGCACTATGTACCTTAGCACCTTTTTCTTTAGCACTCTGAGCCATCCAATTGACAGATTGGCTCTCATGATCGAACATAGTCAGCAGCTTCTTATTCGTATGGAAAGGATAAGACTCGGCCAGCAACTTAAATGCAGACCCTCTACTCACCGTAAACACAAGTCCATACTCATTTTCAGGAATATTCAAGTAATCCATGATCCTAGTCTTGATATCATGTTCTGCACTACCTTTCTCAGCCCCACCATACAAAGCATGGTTACTCAAATTCGCCGTTATCTCGGACAAGGTAAATGCTGACGACTCCCAATACTGCTGGGTCTGAAGATAAGAGAACAACCCGAATCCACAGTAATCGAGACATACCTTGGCGAAAGCTTCGGAGAGGTGTCCGTACTCGTTCGATCTCAAATGGTCGATTCTCTCAGTGGACTCGAACTTGGGGTACATTGTGAGGAACAAGTTGAACGCTTCCGTTAGATCAGGAATCGAGTCTTCGCTGCCGTAAATGCGCTCCGCAGCAAGGGCCGTGGCTCGCAAGAATTCCTTCTGGGCATGAAGCCGGGCGAGAGATCTTGATCTCCCGATGCTGTTGTCTTGATTGGGGGACTCGGTATCGATGTCTTGGGACTTCTTGAGAGACCCATCTTCGGAAGCTTCTTCCAGAGCCTCTCTAAGCCTGTTCTCTTGCAACTGGCGCAGTGTCGACGGCTTTCGCTTGCCGTCATCGAAAGCAGATCCCTTTCTCCTCCTGCTTCTCTTCTCCAAGAATATGATAGCTGCACAGTGAGATATAGGCTTCCATAGTGAAAGATGCATGAATGCTTCCCACCCGGTACACTCAACACCGAGCTGACAGTGAAGAAGAAGAAGGTGAAGAAAGTGCAAGACCCAGTTTTTATCTCGGGTTCAAAACCACAACGCAACTTTTATTTCAAGTCCGAAGTGAGGGCCAAAGATCAAAAGCAGATCCGCCAAATTTCAAAATCGCAAAGAGAAAGCAAAAGCGAGGGTCTATGAGATTCCCAGGAAAACCAAAACTCTCTCTCTGTCTCTCTCTCTCTGCTTTTCAACTTCCGTTACCAAAACAGAGAGACACCATACGCACACACTTTAGCTCCAGTTGATGACTGATGAGAGAAGCCCTCCCTCCACTTTATGACCTGAAACATTTCAAACGAAAAAACAACACAAGCAAGAGTCACCAAAGATTTCCAGCATTACCATCCTTTGAACGCTTTTCTTTTCCCCAGGGCTAACCAGGCCATGACTTTAAAGCAACAAAAAACTTGAAAAGAGAAAAAGGAAACAGAGCAAAGGATGGGTTTTATCTAGTGAGAACCGAACCTTTATTGCTCTCCATCAGAAGGAACATTAGCTTCTTCAACACTCCTCGAAGCCCCCCCCCCCCCCCCCACCCCACCCCCACAATTCAAGGCACTGTTACGGACCGAAGCTCCACCGGAAAACACGCGACAACGGAGTGGCACTCGCGAATCTCCAGACCGGCGCCGCCACACCCGGACTCCCCACCAATGCCCCCCCTTGAAGAACCGGAGAGCCCAACAACAGCGACGGGCGGGTGAAGAGAACCCAATTCGGGGAGCGCCCTCAGCAAGAGAGGGGGGAAAGAGAAAAACAGAGAACTCGCAACGCCCAGAAAGATCCCAAATTTGCACGCCCTCCGATGAAGAAGAGCAGACCGAGAACAGCTCCAACGACTCTCCACCTCCTCCCCCCCCACCCACAATCAGTAAAATCTCCCCACCAACCTCTCCCCCTCTTCTCTCTGTCTTCCTCTCTCTCTCTCTCTCTCTCTCTGTGGGACTGTGGAGTGTTCAGAGCTTGTGAGAGAGAAAGTGAGGAAAAGGGAAAATGCGTTTTACAGCAAGCAGCAATCTTTGGAGATGGTGGCAGGGGAGAGGAGAGAGAGAGAGAGGGAGCGGTGTCTTCGTAAAAGGGCATTAAATTCCATCATTTACGACGGGGCGTGAGGGTCAATAGAGACATTTGAGCATTCAATGCTCCTGTTCCCTTTTCCACTGCCCCCCCTCGCCATTATTACGCTCCCTCTCCTTCTCCCCTTTCCCCATTTTACCCCCACCTTCTTCTTTTTCCTTTTTTTTTTTTGTTTTTGAATTTTAAGGGCGCGAATGGTAACCATTCTGCTCCAGAAATCAAATTCTTGCCAGAAATTGATTTCCGAAATTTTTGTCAGAAATTAATTTTTTGAGGAGAAATCTGTTTGATAAAACATGACTAATTCTGCTCCAGAAATTGATTTCTGGAACAAAAATCTATTTTGATTTGTTGATTTTTTTTTTACCTAAAAAAATTTAAATTTCACTCAAAGTGGGTGGTCACAGGTATTCTAAGCCATTATGTGAAGTATTAAATTTTTTTATTTTTTTGGGCACCTCAAAAAAATTAAATTTCACTCAAAGTGGGTGCCCAAAGGTATTCTAAGCCATTTTGTGAAGTTTTGAAATTTTTGATTTTTTGATTTTTTTGGGCACCTCAAAAAAATTAAATTACACTCAAAGTGGGTGCCCAAAGGTATTCTAAGCCATTCTGTGAAGTTTTGAAATTTTTGATTTTTTTATATTTTTTGAAAAAAATTCACCAAATTTCTTATTTTCCCGAAATCTGACTTTTTTTATTTTCTGGAAAATTTTATGAATTTTTCTGGAATTTTTCGATTTTTATGCATTTTTTGAAAAAAAAATTAGTGAGATCTCAAAATGTGTTGTAAATGCCACGAAAAAAAGAGAAAATAAGGAGAATGCATTCTGGAATAGAGAAGCTACAAAAAGTAGCTTCTCTTTTTCTTGCCCAAAACTCATTCTGGAATCAAGAATGCATTCTGGAATCAAGAATGCATTCTGGAATCAAGTATTTTTAACAAACGCATTTTTATTCCAGAATGCAAAATTGCTCCAGAATGCATTCCGGAAATTTTTTAACAAACGCATTTCTATTCCGGAATGCATTCTGGAGCAGAATTTCTACTCCAGAATGGATTCCATGCGCGTCCTAAGATTCCCAGGAAAAAGAATTTAATAAAAAAAAAAGAAGAAGAAGAAGAACGCCACAGACATGCACAAAAACAGCCGTAAAGCATACTTCCCGGATTTTTTTATTATTTCGATTAAAAATTCGAAACGATGGCTCTTGACTTTGCCGCATTAGATATTGTGCTGATGGAGTTTCGTATCGAAATTAACTTTCAATGATTTTTTAGACTTTGTATGATATTAATTTTTTGGGTAAGAAACCATTATATAAGAGAAGTGAAAAGCAACATAAAAAAGAAGTTTGAGTTGAAAAGATTGGCTCTTGGATTTTTATCTATTTTTACTTTGATTTTTTGTTTGCGTTAATTTCGAATGCTAATTATAATTCAGCTTTTTTAACAATTCGAACACTCGATGAGAACTTTCAGATAACAGGGTGCTTACGACCTATAACATAGGACGAATTGACTTTGGATTATGATGCTTCGCGGGCAATGGCCGGTCGGCCGTTCTTTTCTTGACCAAAGGCCAATCGACGCTGAATATTTACAGTTCGAAAGTATGGAAGGAAAACACGACGCGAAAAGCGGCGTGTTGCTTGAACATCGGTTCTCGGCACGATAGGCGGCCGGCAAAATCCAATCGCATCGCAATCGGAAACACGGACCAATCGGTAGAGCAAACATAGAATTAAGGGGCTAAATCCTCACAATGGTGATTTTCAAATGGAGTATGATTGGAAGTACCTCCCAAAACATTAACGCAGGGACATGGACATGGACATGGACATGGGTCATGGATTCTATCAAAGGAAGTTGGAGGAGGGGGAGGGTGTTATTGCTGGTTTTCTTTGGCATGGGGATGGGACAAAAGAATCTCATTTAACACACTAGTAGGTAGGACAACTAGGGGGGGAAAAACCACATTGAATGCCACCCCCACCCCCCAAAAAAACCCTAGCTCTTGGACCATGGGCAATTTTGGAAGACACGACCCAAAATTATTAACAAAATTATTTACCCTCGAACACCCTTTTATCTAATTGGACGACTCTTCGCATTATTATCGTATAAAATAATTTAGGGTTTCTTTTTCTTTACTGCTTTTCCCATGTTTTCAAAATAATTTATTGGTGAGGGATTGTGGGGTTTCTCTTTCTTCTATACTAGACTTTTGGGGAGGGAGGAGATAGGGAGAGATCTTCACCCTGTTTTGTGTTGTCGCCAATAGGCTTAAGGCTGGTCAACCCAGGAGTATAGAATCGATGACAACTAATTTGGCTTGATACGTGAAATTATAATAGTCAAGGGGTCGGTCATAATGATCTTTTTATTTTACATTTTGATGCATGGACCAAGAAAGCACGTGGGAGCAAGTTAAACGAGTGAAGACGGACTTTTATAATTCTTCCGATTTACCGTTATTTAAGAGCGTCGAGTTGATTCATCTGTTCGGTATAATTAAAGATAAGCTATCGACGCTAACACTTAGAATTTGAAAAAAAAGGTGATTTTCTCGGGACCCAACATAGGCAGAGAAAGTCAAATTCGAAGATGCGTGACTATAGTCATTTTATCAACTCCGTCAACTGTATTAAATTGGAAGTGAGCTCGAAAGAACAGCGACACAGCTCCTCTTGAAGGTCTCGGTCGAAAGAAAAGTCCCTTTGGAGCCCCTCCGCAAGACTCGTCTCTTACGCCTCCGCTCGTAGCCACCTTGCCTTCGCACGCATCTTTCGCCTCTATCGTTGATCTTCGGAAATTCCTCGTTCTTGCCAAAAACCTCGCGTCGCAAAACTCTCACCTCGTTCACCATTCAATGCCATGGATTCAATGCTAGCGAGATTGATGCTCCATCAAAGAGGTTAATCCGATTTCTCTTGAGATGTTTTCGCAAAAGGGTAAGCGCACTGGAAGTCCTAAAATTTATCACGAAAATGCAATTGAGTTCTAAAATTTTCAAAAAGTACAATCGGGTCCTATAACTTGCTAGCATTTTCCGTTTGTCTAGTTGACTAGAGATAACAGAAGGATCTGATTGCACGAATTTGACAAGTTTTAGGATTTGATTGTACTTTTTGATAAATTTAGCACTCAATTACACTTTTGTGATAAATTTTGAGGAATCGATTGTGTTCCTTTGAAAGTTTTATGACTCAATTGCACTTTACGACTTTTACTATACTTATCCCTTTTGTTAATAACTTAATATAGGAGTTCGATTATGGACGTAATTTCTTGAATGGTTGTTGTGGGGGGGGGGTAAAATTGGGAATTCGGGTCGGACATTGTGGAAGGCAACGGGATGTTTGGGTTGGGTTTTTGGCTTTGGATTCCGAGAAGCGCTCGAGGGAAGAGCAGAATCTCGAGGGGGTGCCGCTAAACGACAACGTTCGTAATTTCTCGCGGGTTTTTCTGTCGGGCGGGTCAATGGAGCGCGCGAGAAGATAAGGGGGCCCCGAGAAAACGACGCCTTTTTGACCGGAGCCGAAAGGAAGGGAGGAGGAGTGACCGCGAGACGGTCAACCAACCCGATCCGGTTTAAGATCAAAGATCCATCTCCCGCTCTGCTGCGAATCTTGTGCCGCGAGGGGGTTGACCTCGTCTTTCCGTTGGACGGTGATCCTTACGCACTTTACCGTGCACGTTGACGCAGAGGAGTCCTGCCCCCCACATCATTAGCTCGTACCGCTCGTAAGGATAACGACACATTTTGATCTAACGTGCGACAAGCTTCTTTAACTTTTAATTTAGTTAATTTATCTCTAAATTTTATTTTAATGTACAATGCGATCCCTGAAAGTTCGAAACATATTCAATTTGAGTACTAGATTATATGAAATTGTTCGATATTATCCTTCTATTAATTCAAGTTCATGAACTAAATTGAAACGCACACCAAAAGTTCAAGGATCACATTAAAAAATTTAAAAGTTCATGAACAACATTGCACATTGAGCTAAAATTGATAAATCACATTGTACAAATAAAAAATGTAAGCACCACATTGAACATTCGGCTAATTTTCAGGTTTCGGTAGTATCATTTTCCCATGTCCTTAAAAATCGAAAGGCAAACATTGGAATTCTTTGACCAAAAAAATAAACGATGAAATTAAGGATTGTTGTTGATGGGTTATATCCTAATCAAAATCAGAATAATCACAGAGATAATAGAAAAATTAACACACGAGTTTACCTAGGTTCATCCCCGAATAGGGCTACGTCCAGCAAAGAGATTCCACTATGATATTTAGGGTTTACAACCACAACCACTCGTTACAATGATCTCTCATACAAATACAATATATAGGACTTAAAATGGGCCAAAAGCCCAAGTCTATCCGAATCCTTTTAATCCCACAACAAATGGGTTAGCTTAAAACATAAGATAAAAAACCGATGTTGTTTCGGGGGCACTGCCCCCGAGCCCCTACCCGCTCACTGGCGAGAGGGGCCGCCGTCCGCTCACCGGGGAGCGGAATGCCCGCCCGCTATCTGGTCAATGGGACTCCCGTTTCGGGGGACGCTGCCTCCGAACCCCCGCATTCCATGCGCAGGGGCTACATATCGTCGGATCATACTTCGATTTCCCTAAACTCACGTGGGCGTGCCCGGTATGAGAAATAAAAGTTCCCGAAGTATTCGCCAACTCCAACCGTTGTCTCTATTTTCGGTTTTAGTGTTCTGAGCCAGCGATGGTCAGTATGACTCGCCTAGTTTTGAAGTGTATAAATTCGGTTCGCTTATACCTTTCGATATCATACTACATGGTCGTCGGAGG